CAAAAAAAGATAGAGTGGCTGAATGGATAAGAAAACAAGACCCCTACATATGCTGCCTACAAGAGACTCAGTTCAGATTAAAAGACACACACAGGCTAAAAGTAAGGGGCTAGCAAAAGATATTGCCTTGATGGACATAGAGGGTATCGCACTGAATGAAATGGGTCAGATAAAGACAAATATCACATGATCTAACATACATGTGGAATCTAAAGAACAAAATAAACAACAACAAAAGCAGTAATAAACTCATAGATACAGAGGATATTTTGAGGGCTACTAGATGGGAGGGAGGTTAGGGGGGATGGGAAAAAAGGCAAAGGGATTAAGAGCTATAAATGGACTAGTTGCAGAATAGACATGGAGATGTAGAGCATAACAGGGGGAAGATGGTAAATATGTTGTAATAAACATGGAAGAGGAAAGAGGGTTACTAGATTTAGTGGAGTGATCACTTTGCAAGTTATGTGGATCTCTAACCACTAGGCTGTACGACTGAAACTGGTATATTATTGTATGCCAACTGTAATTGAAAAAAATAACTCGTTGAATTGTATAATGTAAATATAAGCAACTGATTGTCTATTATATTTCAATAAAGCCAGGGGGAAAAAAACTGCACAAATGGCAGCTGTCTTAATAGGAGTAATAACAATAACAACAGTGACAGTGACCAGAGCATACCCTACATAACATTTCTAGAATGTGGTGCTGCTGTCAATCGGGTTAAGAAGATTACTGTGCCTGCTTCATTTGAGTCAAAGCATGAATTAAAATCTAAAGTAAGCTTTGTGCAATTCTGATGTCAAGTTGACAGTTGCAGTCAATGTATGCAATTTTAGTGATTAAGCAATATGCGGAGCACTATATTTTTATAACCAAAATACTATCACAAATGCATAAAATTCAGAAGAAATCTTGATTTTCTTTCCCTTTTTGTCTTGCTATTGAGTTCTTAGCTAATCTGATGAAAAATGAGATAGCAATGATGAGCCTGGTAACCAAACATGCAAGTTGGGACAGTAAGAGACAAAATTTGCTTGTAGTCATTAGTGTGCTATTTTTAGAGAAGGTAACATAGAGGGGGTGCTTACAACTAGAATTAAGTTCTGTTTAACAAGGTGGAAAATTATCTATTAGGCATAAAGTGCTAATTTATTCCTAATCCAGAAAAAAACTCAAAAGTTAAAAATAATTATATTCCCCAACAGCAAAGGTAGCAATAAACAGTTTCTTGCCCTAATTAATCCCAAAGGAAGTCAGAGCAGGTGGTCACTGGGAAAATGCCTAGGAAATGCATTCTGGCTTGGTGATCCAGAAGGAAGAAGTATTAATATGGTTCATTTTTCTTCTAAAGCCTGAGGGTATGCATATAAACAGTGCTTAACTTAAATGCCTTGCAGGGTCCTTTGTCTCTTTAGTAAGCATGTGTTTCTAAGAGGCAACAAGAAAAAAGGAGGCAACACATTTGTTGGCATCAGCACTGGGGATCTGTCATTCGCAACTCTTTTCTCTCTCTCCACTGTTCTGTATCTAGAAGCATAAACAGGTAGGATGATCAGCATCCTTCTTGCTGAGTAACTACAGTCTCAGTATCAGAATGCATGGGGCTAAATTGCCTCGCTGAAGAAACTGGTGCAGCCGCTCTAAGATGGACCATATTCCTGTTCCCAAGAGTCAAAACAGCTGAATTTGCCTTGTATTAGCAGCAGCTTACATCCCACTTTTCTGCTTAATGCATGCCACATCCTCTTAGGTTCAGGAACTGAGAGCACTGACACGATATTTACAGAGAAGTACAATTATACATTTTACCTACCAGCTGTGGAAATATACGAAGGAGTAGAACTGAATGAAAGATCTACTTTGATAAATTAAGTTTTATAAATTCCCCTTCTAGTTGTGTTTTCCTTCAGATTTGTGCACAAGTACTACTTAAGAAAGGTTAAAAGTCAAGATATGAGTTTGCTGGCCATTAACTGGGCCTGCTTACCTGTAATAAGCATGCCGTGATTGGAGTCATATATCATGGAATAAATCTGCATGTCCCCGGGGCCTCCTTGGCTGTCGTGGAAGACTTGTAATAGTGAAAGAGTCTGTATATCCCACACCCTGAAAACCTGGGGGAATAAAGAGTACAGTTGTCCACTTTTACACTTTACCTTCCCCTCTCAAAGCTATTTACGTGGTGCATTTACAGAGTCTGTAATATGCTCTTCAAAATCTGCAGCAAAGAATGATTTATAGGATGAGCACACATTTGTTAAACTCTAATTTGATTCACAGTTCAATTATTGCTCACCAATAGCAGGAAAATAGCAGTAGTGATTAAAAGTGTGCTTAAAGGAATTGAATTTTTTTATTGTTACAGAAGGGAGGGGAAAATATAGTATTTATTATTCTTTAAGAATTTGTAGAAATAGTAAAAGACTAATTATGATGTGCAGTTCAAGTGAAGCCACATTTCTCTTTACAGTACGGATTAGAAAACAGAGGGAAGACATATTTTAGGTGGAGGCTTTTGAACTCTGCCCTTTCATGACTTACGGAGATGGAAACCTCTTACTAAACAAGGTTTCTAAGAATCTCTCCTTCCTCCTGCTCAAAGATATAAGAATTATATAAAGCAGATTTTAGGGATGGTGTAAGTATAATAAGAGTATGGGGAAATCAGTTATTAGAGTTCTCCTTTGAAGAAGGAAAGAATTATGTAATTACTCAACTAGAACTTGGGTCGATAAAAGAGAATGAAAGAATAAATTGAGCAAAACTAGGTCAAATTTACTCTGTCACTTGAAATAATTGGTCTTAGTCTTCATTTTCTTTTTTTCTTAGCAAGTTATAGTATGATTGAATTTCAAAAATAAATATGATTTCTTCAATGCTTATATTTCCTAGTATGCATTTGCCTTAAATAATATTTTTGTATAATAATAGCATTCAACTATTAAATTAGAATATTTATTGAGTAAATGAATGATCATTTTATAGAACTACATATAAAATTTTAAAAAAGAGTTTTATTAATTGACTTTTTATTTGAGACACTTACAATTGAGTTAATTGAGTTCAAGACTTTGCTATTGTGAAGGCAGGTTGGTCCTTATATGTAGAAGCATAAAGGTGCCTAAGTCATGTGATTTCGAGAACATTGGTAAGGAGCTTTCACTCACCTGTACACTCCCTATAAGCCAGTATTACCCAGAACTTGTACAATTGGAAGCCACTTCCTTTGTTCTAATAAAAAAGCAAATTTGGAGGGAGTAGCCAAAACATTGAAAATCATCAGTCTTTTGTATCATAAACAAGTATAATGGCCTATTTATGAATTTAGGTTCAGAGGCTAAAATGAGAGGGAAGTAGGGAAAAAACCTAAAAATGGAATCAAAGAATGCCAAAGAAATTTGTCTCTGTTCAAATTGTTTCTGATTTCATTACTTTGGTTGAGAAGATTACAGGCAGTTTGATGGTTTCTTGATTTCAAGTTGCAAACCTAACTTTTGTGATTAGGTCCAATTGTCTAAGAAAATTGACCTTGATATTTTTGTCAACGCTAGGTTTTGTCATCAATGATTTTGGCAATTTTACTTTATTTTCTCAACTACATTTTTAGTTCCTTTTAGACAGACGTTATATAAAAAGATGTATATGCGCAGGGCCTCATACAATATTAGGCACTTAGCAGGGGCTAATATTTTGATTGGGTGACTTATTTTAACACAGTAGGAAGTCAAGATTCTTAGCGGTATAGTCCTGAGATACAACCAATTTACCAAGGAACAATGTCAGGCATTTTTGAGACTCACATCTGTTAAGAGATGAAAGTTAATGTCAATAGAAATATCTAGATAGTTACTTAGATAGGCTGTAATGAATGTGTGTGTGTGTGTGTGTATGCATGAGTGTGTGTATGCATGAGTGTGTGTAAGGGGTCTGAGGGTTCTAAAAGCTGGTAGGGGTAGGAGCTGAAGAGAATTTCTAGAGGATAAATTAGTATTATAAAGACACTGAAACAATATGAACCACAAACAAAATAGTCCCAAAGGGCAAAAATAAAAACACCATGGCTTATCTTAAGCAAATGTGTGACAACGACAGTGTCCCAGGTTATATAGAGAGTGACAGTCACAAACGAAAGGAAACTTAATGTAGGGGCTAGTTCCCCCTTGTCTTTGTAGGACCTAACTCCCATGGCTCAGAATTGTAAACAGAGTCTTCCTTTGAAGACTGTCAGTGAGCTGTCCGGGGGTGACAGACTGAAGGAAAATGACAAGGCCAGTACGTAAGCAAAAAGCATTGTAGATTGAATACTGAATCCCAAAGCATGTGCCCTCACCTCTTTTTCTTAGTTCATATTTTTTCTTCCCAAATGTCCATTCATTTGATTAGCTAGTTTCCTAATATAGTTGTCTTCCCCCCCAAAATTTTCCTACAGTCAGTCTGAGGAAAATTTTGAAACAGGTAATTCTTACTCTTGAGTATGTTGCAAATCACAGTTTGCCCCAAAATGAAATGTTCCAAACAGCAGAGCCAGGAAATAACACGGGAAGTACTGAAACTAGACTCTCAATCATGGATGTTTCTAATTATCCAAAAAGTAAAAACAAGCAAACTTGAATTTATATCATATACAATAATCCCTTCCCCTCCCCCCCGCCAAAAAAAGAGCAAAAGGAGCTAAAGCCAAAAAAGACTTCTTATTTTTACAACTTAAAGATAACGTATTTTAAAGGGTCAGCTTTTCTTCCTATCCCTAGGTCTATTTCAAATGTACACATCTCTCATTCACCAATAAGAGAAGAAATGCATTTTCCTCTTGGTGAAGATTTCATGGAGGACACGATATATCACTTAGATTTAAAGGATAGAATAGCTGGGTATATGAGGAGAACTGTTTCACACAAAGGTAGGAAAGCACAAAGCCTTTGGAGACAAGTTTGGTGAGGTTTAGAATGTCTGAAGGCAAATGAGTAGAAACAAAGCTGAAAAGGTTTGTAGTTTCTAATCATAGAGGATACCTTATAAAAGAGAAAAGTAAATTTGAATTTATTTGTAAGCCATAAAGTGCCTTTGAAGATACGGAAAAAGGCACTGACAAGATTATAAATGGGTTACAGGTGATGGACATGCAGTATAATATTTGGATGATTTGGTGAGGGAAGAGACTGAAATAGGAGGACTACGCTTTTCCCCTCAGCAAGTTTGAATTAAGGTCATGGATGTGGGAAGAAGAATGAGGTGATGGATATGAAAAATATTTGAAGAGATTGAAGACTAATCAGTGGTAGGGGTTAGGGAGGCAAGAGTTTCAAAAGTGACTTTGAAGTTGATCATGATTTACTGGGAAACAAATGATACCATTTACAGCCAGGAGAAATCAAAAGTCAGAAAACGTGACTTTTGATTTCTCCTGGCTGTAAATGGTATCATTTGTTTGAAGTGGAAAATAATATTTGAAGTGGAAAATAATAAGTTCAGTTTTAGATATGCAGAATTATTTCAAGGATAAATAAGAACTAACTGGTTTGTAGTTGAGAAAAAGAAACCTTGAGGATAGAGAAATTGGGCATAAGAAGAAGAAAAATTGTGGTTAATGAAACAAAGTTCCTGATGGGGCGGTATTAGATTACAAGCAGAAGAGGAGGGATTTGATGTGGGTAGGAAGAGAAATGCTTATACTTGGGCAAGAGCAAAATAAGAGAAAGTAGGTAAATAAACAAACATTTTGAGGTAGAAATGAGAGAAGGTAATAATGACACTTTAAAATTCTCAGTTAAGTAGAAGGTGAGGCACCTATTTCAGGACTCTCTTTCTTGCTCTAAGGCACACCCACAGCCTGGTCAACTTCATCTTTTCTTGGGTTCCTTCATAGAACTTCCAAAGTAAAAATGTAAGAAAAATAATAAGTTTTAAACACCCACTTGTAATCTGTTAAAAATCATGAAAGCATGTATATATCTGCTCATAGAAAAAAAAAAGAAAAATTGTAACAGAGTGAAATGTTAGACCTCTCTGATTCTATCTTGTCCAAGCCCGTTTTGTTCTCATGGCCTTCGGGTCAATAGCTTCTGCTTAGTCTTGCACACAGACATGCTAATGATTAGAGGAATTCTGATTGTGGCTTGAATTTTGCAAAAACAGAAAGTAACTCTCTCAAGGAGATAAGGGTAGTATGTGCACAAATAATGATTGTTTATCAAAGATTCACAGGAACTTCATGACCAGACTCAGATCAACTAGAATCAACAGGCTAAGAACTAAGAAATTCCACAGACTTCCTTGGACTCCTGCTGGCACCCAGATGTCTGTAGACATCAATTGACCTCAAATCCCTTCCATTTTCCCCTTCTCTTGATATGAAAGAAGCTTGAATTCTGTACTTTCTTAAGATGGTCCTTTAGAACGCTAGTTCGCCATCTTCTCAGCTTGCTGGCTCTCTGAATAAAGTCACTTTCCTTGCCCCAACACCTTGTCGCTTGACTTACTGACTGTTGTAAGTCAACTCAGTCACAAAATAACCTTTAGTAGCTAGAGCAGTTCTTGAGAACTATTGTTCCCATTGGTTTTGTTAATGAAATGTAAAAAAAGTGAAGTTTACATTTCTCTCTGTATTTTTTAATGCTTGCCAATTCTTCAAGAGTAGTAGATGTGGCATAGCTGTTAAAACACTTGAGCTATATGACTAGAAATACAATTTTAGTAGCTGGAGGAGAAATGTAATTTTATCAGTTGCAGAAGAAAATAATATCCTAGTGGAAAGTCTGCAAAAATAGGAAGAAAGATGAAAATATGTTTTAAAAATTTAGGAAAAGGAATGGAGTAAACACATCACTAGCCACAGTGACTTATTAAGGCTTGATGTGATGAAAGCTAATTTTTATGAAGTAATTTGGAGGAATGTTAGATGTGTCAAACCTGTTACTTTTGCTATTATTAATAATAATAATAAACAATAACAACAACAACAGTTTCAGTAAAAACATGGATGTGCCTAGTTTGCTGTTCTTTCTGCCTAAATTTCTCTTTTCTCAGATCTTCAAGGGGCTGACTCCTCTGGTTATTCAGTTTTCAGCATTGATGTCACCTCCTCAGAGGTGATAATCACATCACATTATTGTGTTTTTCATTCATTATAATACTTACCATACTGTTTTCTTATGTATTTGCTACTTTGCCTGTTTCTTTCTCTCTTCCCCCTAGAATGTAAATTTCCTGTGAAAGTGGCTTTATCCGCCTTCTTTAATGTTCTCTCTTTAGAAACCTAGAACAGTACTTCAAGAAATAAATGCTTGCTGAGTAAGCAAATGGATGCTCCCATTTAATCTTTATAACAACCCTGTGGGCTAAGCACTACTGCATTTCACAAATGAAAAAACCAAGATGTGAGTAATTTGCCCAAGTGGAGCTGGGGGATGCTGGAATGAACATCATCAATACAACCATTGCATTTAAAAGAAATTGGAAAGCTTATTTCCTCTGTCTTTTCACATCAGGGCATGAATGGCTTAAACTTTTGCTAGAAAGAAAACTTATTTTTCTTTAAATTCTCCAGAGGAGCTTCCAGGTCTCAATTCATAACATATTTTTGTTTTAGTGTCTCAAAACTTTCTCTGTCTTTCCAGTATCATTTTAAAAATTAAAAATAGTTTCCTTCTTATAAAAGCAATGTACATTTGCTTTAAAAATAGGTAAGAAAAAAACAGAAAAAAGAAAAAGTTAAATCAATCCACAGTTTTAGCAACCAGGTAATCACTAATATCTTTGCTGTTAATCACCCCTGATAATACATGATAGACAAAAACATATTTTAAAATGGGTTTTCTTACATACTGTTCTATTATATTTCACATAATATATTGCTTATATATTTTCATATCAATATTCATCTATAAAATCTCAAAAACCTATATGATATGATGTTATATAACATAAAAGAATATATCATAACTTACTGAATCAAAGCCTTCTTTTTAGGTATTGAATTTCTTACTCCCCTCTTCCCTTCCCTCCTTTTTTTTGTTCTTTCCTTCTTTCCTTTTTTTCTTTTGTTCCTTTTTATTTCTTTAATCAATATAAGCAATCGTGTAATGAACACCACTTTGTATAGATCTTTGGGCACTTACCTGATTATTTTATTAGAATAAACACCCAAAAAGTTTTTGCCAGCTTTATCCCCGATGACACTATGTAAGCACACTGTATTTTCTGCCCTCATCTCTCCTCCATCCTCTTTTTTCCCCCTACTGCTTTGTTAAAATTTTTTGTTTGTTTAAGAATATTATTTAAGACCAGGGGGATCACTTTGTAAGTTATACAAATGTCTAACCACTATGCTGTACAGTTAAAACTAATATGATGTTGAATGTCAACTGTAATTCAAAACAAATTTCAAATAAAGGATTTTATTCCAGTTTTTGTCACTTTCATTGCATTTTTACCCGCCCCCCCCTCCCCCAATGCTATCTGTCTTTAATCTTTTTTATGTGTAGAGGAAGGCCATCCAAGGTGGGGACAGATATGGGATTGGCTACAGTTAGACACTAAGGTATCTATGTGACCTTGTACAGATTATTTAGATCTCATTTTTCTGTACATATGTGATATTTTCTGCAAATACGTGATACTTTACAGGGTTGTTACTAGCATCGAACAAGTTATGTATGCAAAATACTTAGCCTAGTGCCTGGTACTTAATGACATTTGATAAACGATAGCTATTATAAGTTACAGAAGTTTGAATATTTATGTAGTCACATTAATTTTTCCTTAAGCCATAGGCATTATGCTTAGAAATTACCTTAAGGCTATGGGAATATTCATTGTGTTTTCTTCTGGAAAATTCTAGGACTTTTGTAGTTTTGTATTTTACATTTAACATCTTTAATCCATATAAAATGTATTTTGCTGTTTCTTATAAAGTGATGATCTGATTACATATTTTTTCCTTATACAGTTAATCAGTTTTCCCAACATTTAATGAACAAAACCACCTTTTGCTCACAGGTTTGAAATGCTACTTTTATCATATACAAAATTCCCATACACACATCAACTAATTCTTGCATTTTCTCTTTTGTTTCAAAGATGTTTCAGCTATTCTTGCATTCACCACTGCTCTGTTTTATTTACTGTGGCTTTATAATATGTTTTAATAAACATCTGACAGGGACAGTGACATCTTATATTTTACAAAGATTCTACGATATTCTTGTATATCAATATTTTTACATTAAGTTTAAACTTGGAAAACTGATATTTAAATAATCCTAAGTAGCATGAAATATATAGCTTAATTCAAGGGAGAGTACCTTACAGCACAATATTCCCATGCAGAAATGTAGAATGTCCCTCCATTCGGGGTCTTAAATGAAAGAACCTCAGAAAATCTTCATGGTGATCTTATATTCATAATGAATATTACTTGTTAAGGTTATTTTAAAGTATTTCATAGTTTTTTGCCCCTGTGAATGCTACACCTTTGACCATTTTTTCCCCTGACTGGTTACTGCTCTTACCTAGAAATTTATTTTTATAAATGACCAACCGCTTCATTAAACTTACCTATTCTAAAATTTTAAGCTGATTTTATTAATATTTGCAAGCAATCACATTATTTGCAAAGATAATAATTTAGCTTCCTCATTTCTAACATTCACAACTCACTTTCTCTTATTTTATTACATTGGTTAGACAGTAAAACACTGTTCAAGAGCAGCAGCAATAAGAGAAATCCTTATTTTATCTGTATTTAATGATGCCACGATGGGAAGCTCTCGTGTTCTTTGCTATGGGGGGTAATACTGGCTCTCTCCCCAGTACTGTATTCGTCCTGGCTTTTCCTGAATGAAACGTGCCCTTCCTTACGCTGCAAGGAACAGAAACAGAGAACAGTGGCTAAGCATTTCCTCCTCCAGATCGATAATTTTTTCTCAGTGACTATCAGCTTTTTCAGTCAAAAACTGTATGTAGTCTAGACTTTCCAATAGTTGATTTCAAAGGAAAGATTGGTTTTGTTTCTTTTTGGTTTTCTTTTTGTTACCTTTGCAGAGGAAAGGCTGATGACGAGTTGATCCTTCTCATTCGTTACTATCTCGGTGATACTGAACATGTGCCCCACAAGTTTGCCCACTGGCTTGGTGCTGATATTGGGGTGCCACAGCCGGAGCACTTTATCTTCTCCTGAAAAGGATATGGAACAGTTACGCATTTTCTCAGGGTACAGGTGGTCACGGTTTAGAGCCTGTCTCTCACGCAATCATATCCTTATCTTTCTTTTAATAGCTAATTTTAGTCTGTTTTTTCCAGGATGCAGTCTGTGATTGACTTGCTAAGAGGCGAGCCTTGTTTGGGATCTGCTGCTTCTTGTTCCCACTTTTTTGGTGATAATTGTATTTACACATACAAACGTGAATTCTCATAAATATTTTATGAGTCTTTTACTTGATTCAGTACTCCTCTGCTCATTCCTACATTAATGCATTATTTATACTTCATTTACTTCCCAAAAGTATTTAAGGCAGCTGTTCTCTTGTTTTCACATTCTTAAATTATGCAAACATTATAATAATAAAAGAAATCAAAGGAAGAGGAAAATTGCACATAATTTATATAGTAACAAATCAACCGTTTTCATTATTCCATCTTCTTTTCTAACATATATTTATCCTTAAGCATATATAATTTATATGTAGTTACTATTATAGCATAGATACTGTTTTTTTAATTGTTAAAATCATGCAGGTTTATGATAAAAGATTTATACAATATAAAAAGGGTATAATTTTTATTTAAAAAAATCTTCCCCCCATAATCTCTAGGTCCACTTCTCTTTTTCTTTTTTTTCTCTTTTACAAATAAACGTTTTTATTTTCAGAATTAAGAATAATACTTTTTCATTCATATTTAAATACTTTAAATTATTTTCTCAAAGTACTCAGGAAGATTACATTTCTCAACAACAAAAAAAATCACTGTCACTAATTTTTATCTTTGATACACACATAAAATATGTTATAAATGTTGACAAAATACAAAAATCACTGTTTTAGTATGTATTTATACAGCATGAAATATTAAATGCACAGAGAGAGATGAATTAAAATTTCGTGGAGCGGGTTTGTCGTTTTGTTACAGATTGAAGGGAAAGGTGCTTTCTTTTTCTTCCCAACTTCACTGAGATATAATTGACATATAACACTGTATAAGTTTAAGGCGCGCAGTGTGATTATTTGATATTTGTATATATTGTAAAGTGATTACCATAAGGTTAGTTGACACATCTGTCACCTACCAGTTACCTTTTTTATTTCCCGTGATGAGAAATTTTAACATTTACTCTCTTTGTAACTTACAATTACCCAATATGGTGTTAACTACAGTCACTAGCTATGCATTAGATCCCAGAACTTACTCATCTTATTACCAAACATTTGTGCCTTTTTAAAAATATTTTATTTATATGGTATGTTTCTCCTTTTGGATTATTTTATGAGGATGAATTCCCAAGAGTGAGATTACTAAAATAAGGGCTATCAACAATTGTATGACTTTAAAACATATCGTTAGGTTACTTTCCAAAATGGCTGTGCCAAATTCCAAGGCCATCAACTATATACGCATATACCAGTTTCATCAAACTCTATCTAGTACATGGCTATTATCATGATTTAAAATATTTGCTATTTTAATAGGTCTAAAATGATAGTCCGTTTTAATTAAATTTATATGATAGCTAATATTAAGTATTTTCTCCCAAGTGTATCTGCTAATTGTATCTCCTTTTGTGAATTATTTGACCATATCCTTTACTTATGATCTGTTTAAATTCTGGTGATATTAAAAAGTAAAATTAAAAAATTTATTATCATGCACTCACATACACATGCATACACACACGCATCTAGTTTAATCATAAAGACTGGTTACCTGTTATATAATCCAAATCATATATCACAAAAGAAAGAAACTAACTCCTAAAGATTAAGAGATTTTAATTAAATGATTTAATTTAATAATTTAAATGATATTTGTTCAGAGTTACATATCAGATAATGGTATTGTATTAGGAATACTATGATGCATTCTTAAACATCTTATTTATTACCAAAGACCTTTAGAGCACTAGGGAAAAAAGATGTATAATAGCATTATAACCTAAGTTATAATTTACATATAAGCTAAATTATAAGTCACAATTTATATATAAAATATCCAAAATTCAGCATGGTAATTTTAGTTAATCGGGTAGCATATATCTAGTCACCCACAGGATAGATTTGCTGATGTAAAAGTACTTATACACACTGAAAGACCAGTTAAGTATGAAGCAGAATTAGGTAACTTAATAGCTGGATAGTCATAAGCCAGGCAAATGTGATAAACATAAGTGCTTCCATAATTCTATGATTATTCTGTTGGGCTCCATGAAAAATAAACATAATATTTTCTCTACCTTTTTCTTTTTATCCTTTAAGTATTTCAATCCATCTTTCAAATCTTAGCATAGCTGTCCCTCTAAGAATATTTCAGAATCTTTTTATAACCTTCAAAACTGAGTGCCCTGCTTATGTACTTTTTACTCTCATCATATTTTTTCACTTTTACAGATATTGTTTTATAATCTCATTCTTTTTTAAGAACACAAAAGATCCATATTTCCAAATAAATTTAATTATTTTTATTTTCCAAATACGGTTTGGCATAAAATATTAGTTTCAGATATATAACACAGTGATTAGACTTATATATAACTTATGAAATGATCACTCTGATAAATCTAGTACCCATCTGACACCATACATAGTTATTACAATATTATCAACTATATTTCTTATGCTATACTTTACATTCCCCTATTTCGTAACTACCAATTTAATACCTTAATCCTTTCTCCTTTTTCACTCATCCCCATAACCCCCTCCTATCTGGCAACCATAAAATGTTCTCTAATTTGTGAGTTTGTTTCTGTTTTGTTTATTTTGTTCTTTATGTTCCACATGTAAGTAAAATCTTATGGCATTTGTCTTTCACTGTCTGACTTACTCCACTCAGCACGATACCCTCTAGGTCCACCCATGTTGTATCAGATGGCAAGATTTCTTTTTTTTTTTTTATGGCTGAGTAATATTCCATATGTACCACTTCTTTATACATTCACCCACTGATGAACACCAAAGTTGCCTCTATATCTTAGCTATTGCAAATAATGCGGCAATGAACATATGAATGTACATGTTCCTTTTATGTAGTGTTTCGTGTTTCTTTTAATAAATACTCAGAAGTAGAATTACTGAGTCCTTCTTGGTCTCTTGTTATAGCCTTTGTTTTAAAGTCTATTTTGTCTGGTATAAGTATTGCTACCCCAGCTTTTTTTTCCCTGTTTTTATTTTCATGAAAAATCTTTTTCCTTCTCTTTACTTTTAGTCTGTGTGTGTCTTTTGATCTAAAGTGAGTCTTTTGTAGGTGGCATATGTAAGAGTCTTGTTTTCTTATCCATTTAGCTACCTTATATTTTGATTGGTGTGTATTCATCTTTTTTAATATTTAAAGTAATTATTGATAAATAAGTAGTTATTGCCATTTTATTTCTCATTTTTTAATATATATATTTTTATTCTTCTTCTTAAAGAAGTCCCTCTAACATTTCTTGTAATACTGGTTTGATGTTGATGAATTCCTTTAGCTTTTTTTTTTTTTAATCTGGTAAGCTTTTCATCTGTCCTTCAATTCTAAATGACGGTTTTGCTGGGTAGAGTAATCTTGGTTATAAGTCCTTGTTTTTTCATCACTTTAAATATTTTATTCCAATCTCTTCTGGCCTGCAAAGTTTCTGTTGAGAAATCAGCTGACAGTATTATGGGAGCTCTCTTGTAGGTAACTATCTGCCTTTCTTCTTGCTGATTTTGAGGTTCTTTCTTTGTCTTTACCCTTTGGTATTTTAATTATGTCTTGATGTGGGCCTCTTTGAGTTCATCTTGTTTGGGACTCTCTGCACTTCTTGGGCTTGTATGTATATTTCCTTTGGCAGGTTAGACATTATTTCAGTCATTATTTCTTCAAATAGATTTTCAGTTTCTTGTTCTCTCAATTTTCCTTCTGGCATCCCTATGATGAGAATGTTGTTACACTTGATGTTGTCCCAGAGGCCCCTTAAACTATCCTCATTTTTTTTGGATTCTTTGTTCTTGTTGATATTCTGATTGGGTGTTTTCTGCTACCTTACTTTCCAAATCGCTGATTTGATCCACTGCTTTATCTAATCTACTGTTGATTCCCTCTAACGTATTCTTCATTTCAGTTATTGTAGTTTTCATTTCTGACTGGTTCTTTTTTATGTTTTCTATCTTCTTGTTAAAGTTCTCACTGAGTTCATCTACTCTTCCCTTAAGTTCACTGATTATCCTTAGAAACAGTGTTTTAAATCTGCATGTGTTAGATTGCTTGTCTCCGTTTTGTTGAGTTCTTTTTCTGAAATTTTGTTCTGTACTTCCATTTGGGACATCTTTGTTTGTCTCCTTTTGGCTGCCTCCTGTGTTTGTTTCTTTGTATTAGGTAGAGCTGCTTTATCTCCCAGTCTTGGTAGAGTGTAGTAGGTGTCTTGTGGGACCCAGTGGTGCAGTTTCCCTGTTCACCTGAGCCGGGTGCTCCAGGGCTGTCCCTTGTGTGGATTCTGCATGCCTTCCTGTTGTAGCTGAACTTTGATTGCCGTTGGCACATCAGTGGGAGGGATTTACTCTTAGGCTGATGGGTTATGAGGACTGGCTTTGACCACAGTGGAGGAGCTCTTGTTCAGACGCTGACACTAAGGAGGAGCAGGATTTTTTTTTTATTGGAACTCTGGTGTCTGCTGTGTCTGCCCTTTGGGTGCATCATTTGTAGAGGTGGTTGGGTGTTGCTTTGGTGTGGTATGAAGCTAGTCACTGAGTGTGTTGGTTATGAGGTCTCTTGGGAGGGACTCTGATGCAGGCCAAAGTCAGCTTCTGCCTGTGCTCTGCCCAGGGTCATTTGATATGAGCCACCAAGAAATCTGTAGATGGTTGCCATTTGTGCTGGGCTTAGAGGTTCCTGGGAGAGGCTAAGCTGCAAACTGAGGCCAGCTGCCACTAGTACCAGCCTTGGGGTTGCTTAGTAAGAGGTATGGGGCACCAAGGACAGATGTTGCTTGTTTGGGGTTTGTAAAC